ATTCATGGATGACAACGCTAGACCTCATTGCTCTAGGGCAGTAAAGGCTTATTTAGAGAATGAATCCGTCAACACTCTTCCAGCAAGAAGTCCAGATCTCAACCCTATAGAGCATCTGTGGGACCAATTGGGTAGGCGAATACAGGCGAATAACGTTTTTGAGCTTTCACTGACAATACTTATTAAAGATAATTTTAAGCATGAAAACTGTCCATATTTTGATGTCATGATATGTAAATTAAAAATTGTTATTTTACGGTGATAATCTTGTTTTCTTGTGCCCAATGCATAATTTCATTTGATAAACACGTTTAGATTGAATGGTAATTTATAATCAGTCACAAGAACGTCGATTCTGAATCACTTGAAAAAAACACGGGGGTGCTTAACTTTTTTCCAGGTGTATATATAGATGTACATTTGTGCTGTTACAGCTGTTTGTGTCTAAACTCAAATGCTGTGAACAGTATCTAGATCTGTCATCAGGTATGAATCTCTATCTTTACATTTGTGAATCCAGTTTCATACATCAAAAGTTGGGGAAGAAAAATTTGCCACTTTAGCCATTTTCCATACACTAGTAAATATGTTTGATGTAAGCAACATATTTTCTACACAATTTGTGTTTTGTACATCTCTTATTTTTTGTTTTTACTTTTTTTATATTTAAGTTATAAACACAACATAGATATCTTGTTTGTTTGCTAACTTATTTAAATAACATGCATTACAACATTGCACAGAACCTTGCTAAATATTTAATGTGTGCCATTGTATGGAGAATTAATTACACTGTAATGTTCCATAGCCCATGCTGTCCTTGAAATAACTTCTTCCACTAGGTTAAAATCGTTTGATGGCCATGGTTATGCACTTTTGTCTGACATCACAATTTTCACTATAAGAAGCTTCTTTACAGCACATTTAGGTCAACCTTAGACCACATGCATCTTGATAAACTTTCCATAGTAGATTCCACTACACATTGTATATGGATGATGGTTTCCAAGACTATCTAAACAAGTCAGATACACAGAATTCCTTGGATGCACTGTTAGATGAATTCATAGGTATGTTAAAGAAGGGAATAGCATGAACACCAGTTTTGTCCTCCATGACTTATATAATTACTGCTGTAGAATTAGACTTTTGAATTGATACTTTATCCTGATGTAATCATAACTTTTTTGGCTTCCTGACCATCTCATATAATCAGTGGTAAACATGAACTCTGATGAAAAATGTACTCTACATTCTCTATATCATATTGAAAATTCTTATTGACTCATAGTCCTTAGTAAGTCACCTGTTTCTGGTTGTAGGTAGTTCAAGAACAATGATGAAGCCTGAGGAAGAACTTACACTACATTCCTTATATCATGTTAAAAGTTCTTATTGACCCATGGTCATTAGTAAGTCATCTGTTCAGGGTATTTTTCATACAGCTTTTTGCAGTTTGTCTGGGAAGTATCTTGTGGCTTTTGCTTCTTTTCATGAGCAAGATCTCCGTAAACTATCTTCTACACAGCTGATATGAGTAATTTGTTAGCAACCACTTTCTGGTTGAATTGAAAAGGTGTCCTGGACGACCAGTCAACAAATTGGAAATGGTAGTGGCAAGCTTGCATGAGATGGATGCTGTTTAGATGGTTTTATGTTCTATATAGTGGGTGTGTCGATCTTCTCTTGTTGATGTAATTCCTATTATGTTATAGATAGTATTTTCTTAAATTGTTGTGCCCTTGATTTTGCATAACTACATTGTTTTTGCTATAGTAATATCCTTTCTTGGAAAGAGCTAAAACAAAATCCTTTAGTCTTAAGTTTATCCATGGTGACATTTCTGTATTGAATTTAACAAAAAATAGATGCTAAACATATTACCAGTGATGTCTCTATTTGTATCTTAAACTGTATTAGCATATGTGTATCATTCTCATAAAGTGCTTCAAACCTTACTGACACAATATTTACTGGAGTGCATTAGAGTTAAGTGTAATGTCATGGTTCTATTATTGCATTCTTTATTCTTAGAGCTCAATGTATGTATTAGAATGCACCAATACGTTTGGGTTGACTCTTCACACAAATGATCATAGTTAAAATCTTTCACTCAGAAAAGAAATGAAAGTACACTAAGCATTATAAGTGAAAATATACTTGCATTGCACTGCAGTTACTAAATTACATGATCTGTTGATACAACAGTTGACATTCTGCTAACAAAGGTGGGTGTCAACAAGGGTTGAAAATAACCCATATCAGCTTTTCATGAACATTAACAAAAAATGTATTGAAAGATTTGATAGATCATAACACCCAAGATGGTTGCAAATTCCATATGTCAGAGTATTTTTCTGTGTTTATTACTTATGAAATAGTTACAGAAAGAGTTTTATATTTATTAGCAAACTAGCTGAATTCCCATCCAAAAATTAAATCTAAATAAATGTTTTATGGACATGTTTTCTAAAAATCATTTATATTATAGTAACTATATATTTGTAAAGCATTTATCATTTTTCTTGTATTTTATGAAAACAAAATTTTTTGTGCATATTTGGCATTTTTTATAAGTAGTCCTTGATTAGAATTTTGACTTGTGTATGTTATGTTCAACTCTGCTTCTTGATAAAGCCTTGTAGATTTAACTATATGTAAAAAGTGGTTGTCAAAGAAATATTCCTACATGATCAAATGTATGACTCTGCAATTCATTAATTGTTATGGCAAAAAAATTGAAGGTAAAGAGAAAATGCACAAAGGTATAACTTTCATAAAAAAATAGTTTATAAAACTTTTGACTAAATATTTAAAAATATCTTAATAATGTAGTTTAGCGCCATCTATTGGTTTGAAAATATATTTAAGTTTTGTTTGACACAGACAGGCCCTGGTGTTTATATGTAATATGATTCATGATTTAATTTAAAATTGCATTAATATATTTCTGAATATTCAAAGAGATTGCTGTAAGAATGATTATAAGTATTTAAAAAAATAAATATAAAAAAAGGTAACGTAAAATCTTGACTCAACTGTGAATTGAATGCGAGGCTTCCACATGATAGTCAAGCATAATAAACGCTGTGACACTCAGTCTTTGTAATTGAATGTTAACAAATAATTGAAATCCCTTACTGAAACTATGATGTTATATTGTATGATCTTGCTCTAAACATAATTTAAAAATGAAAAAATGTTATAAAAAATCCCAAATCAACTGGTATTTGAATGCAAGACTTCTGCTTGAGACTAGCTGCTGAGCCAATTCAAACTTCACCAACAGAGAGTGGCTTTTGTTGTGTCATGGACAATTTATATATATATATATATGTGTGTGTGGCATGTTTTAAATCTGTAATATCTTTATTCAATTCTTACAACGAAGATGGAGTTTTCTTTTAGCAGTGGCTCAGACTTCATTTTATAATGAGATGATAGTGAAGACATTGTACGTGATTCAGATGTTATCAGTAAAATATGTGTACTTCATTATGAACAGTGATACTGTTTTAAGCTCAAAATTATTCATCTGTTGTAGGATCGTATGGACTCCATTTATGATCTTTTGTCTCCTCATATGAATTACCTTTGGGTTACACCAACAGTAAATGCAGAAATTTTTAGAGAACTTGGAACAGACAGTGGTAGGTATAATCAAATTCTGTTTTCAACATTGTTTTACTAGATGGTGTTATGTATTAATTGTTTTTTATGTTATTAGTCCTGCTGTTATGTATTGTAAATGAATAAAAAAAAGGCACTCTTTTGATTAATACATATATTTTTCATTCATCAATTCCATGTTTCACCAATACTTTGCAAACACTATTTTTGCTTAATTTTCCATTCAGCTCCAAATGACGTTGAATTTAATGTTTCTGGATAATTTGTAAACAAACTGTATCTAAGTTGTATATATTATTGTGTTTGAAATAAATCATTTGTTTTTGATGACTAAATTTTTACCTTTCATAGGCAGAGAATATTGTTTTAACTCTTTGTGACACTATTATTCAGCTTATCTCTTAGTGGCCAATTATTTTACCAGTGTTATATCAAAATCTAAGTTTAGAAATTTCTTCAACAAGGTTCTACTTACCTTTGTGAAGGTACTGAGGGTTAGTGTGCATAGTAGTAAATATCAATACTTGTGTTTAGATAAATTAATTACAGATTTACTTTGACAGGTATTAACTTTATTCAAATATTTATGACTGAGAATTCTTTGTATTAAAAAAAAAGCTTGTAATCTGTAATTATTTAGCATATACGTAGAATCTCAACTTAATATTAGATCTCAAATAATAAGCTTTGAACAGCTTACAAGTAATAAAAAATCATATTAGGTGTATACTGGTATTTATATCAGACTAATAGTATTTCTTGGAATAAGGAATGGTCCTGCAGAACTGTTGGGCTTATTATATGTAATAATAACTTCTGATCAGAGTAAGTCACGTATTAAGAGCACAACTAAAAATTAATTTGGCCACCAGTATAGGTAATTAAATATCCTTTTATTACATATATTAGCAGAAACCTGCAAAACATTTGCAGTCAAATTAGTATTTCATTACAACAGTACTTCTTTAAATACAGGATTTCTAGAATAATACAAAAGAATTCTAATTGCAGACACTAAAATCTGCAAGTCCACTTGTCTCAGGTCAAACATTAGTTAAGCCTTTATTAAGTACGGTCTATATTCGATAAAGAGATAAATTATCACTGTAACTTGTTTACGTTTCTTGATTTAGTTTAGTTAGGGCTAAACTTTACTGTACTTAATACTGTCAATAAATAAACTTATAATGTTATTCTGCAACTTAACGTTAGACCTTTTTTAAAACTATGATAAACTTATAACATGTTGTTCTACAAAACATCTACTAAAGTATATTTACATCTGCCTTTTGTTTACATCCATTGAAATGAAGTGCACACACATGTGCATTTAGATAGTATGATAAGTATGCATTTTCAGAACAGACAAAAATTGAGTATTATAATAGATACTTTTAAAGATTAAAATGCAATGTTTCATCAGTTGGGTATCTTAGGTTATTCATAACACAAGGCCTGGCGTGACCTGATGGTTAGGGCACTTGACTCACAACCTGCATGCCAGGAGTTTGAATCCCATCACCAAACCTGCTTGCTCATTCATCCATGGGGGCATTGTAATCTGATGGTCAATCCCATTTTTCATTGACAAAAAAGTAGTCCAAGAGTTGATGATGGATTGGGTTGACTAGCTGCCTTCCCTGTAGTTTATGACTTCTAAATTAGAGATGGCTTGTGCAGATAGCCCTTGAGTAGCTTTGTGCAAAGCCCATAAATTCATAAAATATTAAAGGGACAAAAAGGAGCTTATTAGCCCATCAAGGATGTCCCTTCTAGCTCCTAACTATAACCACCCCTTACTACTCGTGTATTTATCCAGTCTTTTCTTGAACTCAATTTTCTGCCTTCAACACCCTTGAAGGCAGCTAATTCCACCCTGTTTGAAAAGTAAAACTGTCTAAACTGCAGATGACTCATACACTGTCAGAAAATATGAATGTTCTGTATGCATATCAATTTTTCCCTAAATGCTTCCCACATCTGTTCAAGATCCCCTCCCAACTCTTTAGTCCAATCTACAGAAGCCAGATCATGTCTCATTCCATCAAACTTGGGAATCAGGGTACTATTCTTCTTCAATTCTACATGTAGTAAAATCCCAAACCTAATAGTGCAATGCTTGCTTGTACTTAAATGCTCACCAACTCTGTTTAAAATATTTGCATTAGATGCTAATATTAAATCTAATATAGCTTCCTCTCTTGTAGGTTCCATCACCAGTTGGTGTATAAAAGTATCATGAAGAATTTCCAAAAACCTATCCCCCTCACTGTCAGACTCAATTTTCCCAATTGTAGTTAAAATCTCCCATAATAACAACTTTTTCAGCTACCATTCTGATCTCATTATACAATTTCTCATTAACTTCCACATTCTGGCCTGGTGGTCTATAACAAATCCCAGTTACAAGACTTTTCCCTTTATATCCACTAACACTAACCCAAACTGACTCAATCTCAGTGCTGTTTCTCTAATATGTTCTAACTCAACAGGATGCAATTCACTCCTTAAATATAAAACTACTCCTTCTCTCTCTTTTCAATACTCTATCTCTAGTAAATAGTCTGTAGCCTGGTATTTCAAATCATTTCTCTCATCAAAATTCTTCAAATCCAACCAAGTCTCAGTGATGCACATAATATCAAAATCCTAAGTTTCCACAACTGCTTTGAACTCATCAGTTTTATTTCTAATGATTCTAGCATTACAATAGTAACAATTAATCATAGATTTTAAAATATGTTTGTTTTAATGCCTGTTATACATGTTTTCCCATTTATTATATTTCCTATTTTACTAATATCATAGCCCTCACCTCTGTCTAGCCCTAGTTTAAATCTACCACTACAGCTGAGTTAATAGCTCTTGCTAACATGCTAGCCCCTGCCTTGATTAAGTGTAAGCCATCCATTCCAAAAAGATTAATAACTTTCCCATTAGAATTAACCCACAAATCAAACCAGCCTATTTGCTCATCTCTATATATATTGATCTTAGCCTGGCATTCAATCTTAGTGACCTACTTAGTATCTCATCTACACAATTTATTCTTGGCAATATCCCTCACAAAATCAAGCTATGACCCCTTTCTTTAAATGCCCTTATCAATGATTTATATTTATCAATAAGCTCCTCAGATCTATCTTTCTTTATATCATAAGTCCCAAAATGTACCACAAAAACTGCATTGCTACTAGCACCCTTAACTTTCTCTCTGTTTCTATCAGCTATTATCCTGTACCTCTGCTCCTGGATAGCATAAGCATATTCTTTTGCTCCTATTTACTCCACTTACTACTCTATCTGCATGTCCATCTAGAGAGTCACCAACAACAATAACTTCCCTAACCTTCACATTATCATCCCTTATGATTTCATCTGTTTCCTTACCTGCTCCCCCTCATCACTAGCAAGTGCTTGAAACCAGTTGCTTAACCTAAACCCAAACCCATCCTTGCCCCTAAATGCATTTTTTTCCATGCTTTTAGCACTATTTCCTTTCTTAGCTCCGTTGAAATCCTGTTTGCCAACTGTACCTTTTGCATGTAGAAGTTTAAATTCTTCACTAAGCCCTGCCACAGCTTTACACAATTTACATTTCTCTCTTTTCAACTCTGCAACTCTACCAAAATAACCCTCCAACTTCTCCTCTAACCTGCATACCCTGCAAATAAATTGTACATCCTGGCTACTAGCCTCCCTAAAAGTATACTTTAACCTCAAAAACAAACATAAACACAAATTCTAAGCTAGCAATGCAAATCAAAATCAATCTTTATAAAACAAATTTGTTAATTAATGACAAAATAGAATAAACATAATTATGTAGTAAGTACTCTACCAATATTATTAATGAAAGGAAGAATAAATGAACAAAATGGCATAACAATGCATTTTACCAAAGAAACTCCATACGCCTCCCCTCACTGTATAACTTGGTAAGTATGGCAGAATGTTTTGTAAAAGGTCTATTAGGTTCTATACATCAACTTTTTCATGGTACAAACATAAAACAATAAATAAAAAATGATAAAATACCTGAAAGCTTTTACCACCAGTCTTAACACCAGTCTATATATACAAGCATGCTTGATATGCAAAGCTTTACAAAAATTTATCCTATTAAGATTTGTAGTGTATTAAAATTCTAGCTGAAATAAATGTGTATCACCAACTTGTTGGCTAAAGGTACCTCCTGTTAGGATTCCTTGTATTTGTTTCAAGACATATTGGCTAAATTGCATAAAATTAATGGCTTTTAAGAAATATAATCATATCAGTTAGAACTGGAAGGTCTGGTTTTGGCTCTTAATATAATATGTATAGTACAGTTTAAACTTTTTAAAGTGATTTTTCATATATATATTCAATATATACAATGCTTAAATTGAGGGTGGTGAGGGGTATGCTATTCCTCCTATTAACAGAAAAAAAAAGAATCGTTCCCTTGTTATTGATAAAAAAACAAACTCTGAGTGCCAAATATGTAAGTGTGAAAACATAACATCTGTGAGTAGATTTCATAAGTTCCCGTTCTTAATTTTTTTACAACTTGAGTGCTGAATATAAATATTTAAATTTGTTGATCTTTATTGGTTAATGCAGCAGTGTATTACTGTTACTTACACTTACAAAATTAATAAAAAATAAGATAAAATATTAATGACGTGGCTAGAGAAAATGTCAAATAATAAGTAGTTAAAAAACTGTTGTCCTACCAGCTTTTGGTAGCTCAGCAACGTACAAACAAGTATCAGCCATTGCTAGTTTACCTGATGAGGTCGGATTTACAATGCTCAAATCAGGGGTTCAATTCCCTTCGGTGGACACAGCATATAGCCCAATGTGGCTTTGCTATAACAAAACACACACACCTGATGAGGTATTCATGTGTTTATGTTACTGTTGCATCATTTCAGAGATGTTCTGTACTTTGTTTTAATTCAGAAAAAAAGAACATTGTTCAAAGCATTTTGTTTCCTACGCCAATGATTTAAAACAAAGTTACATACCAGTGATACTAAATATTTCATGATGTATATAATCAATCTGATTGAAATCTGGAACTTGGCACACATTTACAATAACTAACTAGTTCTGAACTAAAGCATAGTTTGTTAATTTTGTTAGTTAAATAATACAACTAATCATTAATATGTATTTTATTTTTGATTTTGAAATCTTCAAAAAATTTAAAGGATTTAATGCCAAGAAATGACTTAAGTTCCTTTGTTTTTAATTCCCTTTTAAATATGGCTTCAGAAACTTAACTCTTTGACTGTGGCTGGGAGGTATATTCCCCAGTGCATTGAAAAATATATGTCCCAGCTGCAATGAATGAGTTAAAATTGGATATGTCTATAACAAGGGCTGTGGATTTCACTAAATTTTCAAATTTTGTTGAAATTGATATTTTTCTTTTGTAGGATAATCTTTGGCTTTCCATCTTTTCAAGATATTCTAAATATTCTCATTGCACAAATACACTTGTTCATGCAGTTACTATTACTGTACCATAAGTTTTTGCAATTATATTTCTGGAACATGAAATCTAAGTAATTATTTTAATTAACGTGTACAAGACACCTATAAATGGTTTTTTTTTAATTATGTTCCTAAAGAAATAAAAGTTGACTATCTTCACCCTTGGAAAAAAAGTTTACTGCACTGTCCCTTACACTTACTACATCGTAAGTTTATCATTAATATATTATTTTGTAGTTTATTTAATTGAGTAGAATTGAAATGATGTGCTATTAGACATATTACAAAATTTTCCTTTTTTTTTTAGAAAAAGTTGTACCAATGCTTCTGTCAAGACTCGAGCTTCTTAAAGAGTCAGAATTTACAAGACAAGAACTTACTTCTGTTCTGAAAGATGTGAGCAACCAGATTGGACTGAAATATAACCTATATATGAAGTTTCTTCGATCAGTTCTCAGTAATTTAAAGGTAGATAGTCTTATTGTTTCATATTTTAAAGATACTAAATGAACTCTACGATAAACAAATTAAAGAAGAATTAAAACTGATGATAACTTAGCTTTGATAGTGCAGAACCATTGTTATAACATAATATGAATCACCCCTCATTTTGATGCATTAGAGACATCTCATGATGTAGTGCTATAGTATTAAAGATATAAGTTATTCTTTAACTGTTCTTTGTAATATACATTTTAAATACAAGTATTGAAGAGGTGGTCTTTAGTAACTTTTATATTTACTTCAAACTTTTTATTTCTTCTCTGCCACCTGTAGTCATGCAGCTTTAATGTGTTTATTGCTAACTTAAAGATCGAAGTTATTTTTTTTTATAACAATTATGTAACCAATTGGTCTATATCTGTTTCTACATTGCTTTATGATAATTATTGGGAAACAGGATAAAATACATCTAAACTTGGATAATCTGATGTTTTAGAAAATGTTTGTTATTTATATCAGGAGGGTCCTGCTGTTGTAGAAATGATGGAAATGTTAGGAAAAGAGACCTGTATCTTACGCCTACAAGATGTACTTGGTGTTGCAAGAGAAAACAACAAGAAGCATTCATACCATGGTCCTGATTAAAAAAATAAAACATGTAGAGATGACAAACTGACATGATGGATATACTTAGAATAAGATACATAGTATTGATATAATATAATCATTGATCATCAGATAGTTGTGAGATAACAAACACAATGCACTGAAATTAGTTAATGTCTGTTTGTCCAAAGACAGGAGGATGCTACTGTTATGGAAATTATGGAGCTTGTTATTAAATCATTTCCAAACTCTTTGTGACTTTTAAACAAAAGTATAGATACTAATGGAAAGTTACTATTCTCTAGGCTGGTAGTTAAACTTGAATATTTTGACATGGTTTCTTCTAGTTAATAAAAAAACATCATCTGTAGATAATGTTTTAAATGTTGCAATTAAATTAATATAATTATTTTTCACACTCCAATTGTATTACATTCAGTGTAATTTTGTATATTACTTTCTTAGTGCGTACACCTCTTTTAAAGGTTAAAATAAATAATTTGTAATAAAATGCTTGTTTACAAACAAATTACAGGCAAACACTATCAAGAACTGGTTTATTGTTATTTTAAAAAAGAAATACAGGGAATCTTGTACATATTTGTATTGGTCACTGGCAGATTTAAGGGGCCTATAAAGACCTACTCAAACTCCCTTGGCTCTGCTGTAGTACAAGACATTGAAAAGGAGAAAAGCCAATCAAATTTTTTTTCATCGTGTTGGCCTATATGAAAATATTCATTATTGCTTCTGCAACCTTTTACCAATAATTTTCTCTCTTCCTGTTGATATATCCTGAAGTTTGTATTTTCTTGTTAGATAACTTGCAGTGACAAATATTTATAAATAAATAATGAAATGAAATGTAGTCCTTATGCAGTGTTTACTGAAGAGAGAACTGCTTACTAACAGCTAAAGCTGCTATCTCTTAATGAGTTTAAGAGTTGCAATGTCTATTGAATTCAGTAGAAACAATGCAACTCTGACCACTTTACATCTAATATAAATTTAACATTTAATTTCATGCATCCCCCCTAATGGCCTGGATTTATCAATGCTGTTCATCATTATATGGTATATTATTTAAAGCAATATGTGTATTTCACTTAGTCATGAGTTTTAAATTTAGAGTTAAATTTTATAACCATGTATCATTGTTATCACTGAAGCAAAGAATGTGATATTGCCTATTCATTTGCATTAAATTTTAGCTTCGGTTGTCCATAAGTCATGCCTTTAATATGAAAAGAACTCATGAAATTGTATAGATCCATAAAGTTTGATGCTTGTTGTAAGTCGCATACCTCAATATGTCATCCACATTACACAGACAACATACATGTATTTCATAGTGATGTATTACATGTGATGTTACACTTGCATTGGAATTCTTCATCAAATCAAAATGATATTTCTGTATTGTTGCATCAAATTTAAGGACAATAAGGGATTTTTTGGTCCATCTAGGCCATCCAATTTATTAAACTGAACTTTAAAGTACAAACTTCAACCCAGACCTCCTCATTCACATATTTACCAAGTGTTCTCATAAACTCCCTTAAACTTATTGCATCCACTACATCTGAAGACAACCTATTTCAGACACAAACTATCTTAGCTGAAGATGACTCCTACTCTGCCAAAATTTATACATGTGTTCCCTAGTCCTACAGTTCTTAGAATTAAATATGAAAAACAATGATGAATCAAGTTTCCTTAAATATCTTAAACACTTCAATCGGATCCCCTTCAACTCTTCTTTTTTTTAAATAAAACAATTTTAGATATCTTAATTTGTCTTGGTATGACTACCTTTCCATCCCAGATATAATTTTAGTAGCCCTTCTCTGATTCCCTTTTAACAATTAAATTGCCTTCCTAAGTTAAAGAGCCCAAGGCTGAACATAATAATTAGTAACCTGCACAATGAAATTATAACCTCTTTAGGCTTATATTTAATGTTTTTGTAGACACGACATAAAATCCTATTTGCCTTCTGTTCATGCACCACTAGTAATAACACATTGCTTGGATGGCTTAAAACACTGGTCACAAAGAACACCAATATCATTTCATAAGTTATCCCTATCAAAATTTAAGTTATAAATTATGATAATCCATATGCATCACCTTGCATTTATTACAGTTAAAATCCATTTGCCATTTATTTGTCCAACTCACCAAATAATCTAAATCCTTTTGTAAGGCATCCTTCTCACAGCCAGCAACACCCAAGACCTTAATATCATCAACAAATTTAAATTATCTTTTGACCATTTTTCATCTATGTCATTGATGCAAATCAAAAGAGTAAAGGTCCTAACACTGGCTCTGAGGTACCCACTTATAACAGTAATCCATTTTGGCTGAACTTCATTTACAACAACACTTTGCTTTCTTTCATCCAGTCATTTTTGTATCTAATGTGTCAAGTTACCCCACACCTATAGAGATATTAGTTTTAACAAATCTTTTTGTGCTAAATACTTTCTGAAAATCCAGATGAACCAAATCCACACTCACACCTTCGATACATAAGCAGTAAACTCTTTAAAGAATGTCAAAAGATTAGTAAGGACAGATTTTTCCCTATTGAAACCATGTGGGCTATCCAATGAAATTTTGTACTTTGTTAAACAAGTTTGCTAAGCATGTGTTTTATCAGACCTTCAAAAACTTTTCCAACCTATGATGTCAAACTAATAGGTGTATAATTAATGGAACAATTTTTGTCACCTCTCTTGCAAAGAAGAATAACATTAGCCAACTTCTAATCTTCTGGCACTTGTCTACTATTCAAAGACTTGCAAAATAGTAGCAAATGACTCACATATCCAATTCCTAACCACTTTAAAAACCCTATGGGGAAATATGTGGCCCTGAAGCCTCATGTTTTAAACTTTTCAGTTTTTTCTTAAACTCATAATTAATGTGATCATCTTTTTTTTTATCTTTTTTCTACTTAGCAACTGTTCAAAATGAGGAATATTGCTTTAATCTTCATTACTAATAATTGAAAAAAAAGTAGAACTAAATAAATCATGCATCTCATAATCATCCAAAATGAGCCTTCCTTTATCATTCCTCATAGGTCCCATTTTCGTTCTAACATTTTACTTAATCTCAATGTACTTAAAGAATTCCTTACTATTAATTTCCTATTTGACTAACTCCCTTGATGTTCTATAGGTCTGTAAATCTCCCATTATAGCAGTCAACTTAAAATTCTTACTTTTATAATGTTTTCTTTAATTTTATCTCGTATACTCTTTGTGAGGAACATGTCTATCTTGCATATTTAAAATTATTTTAAAAAATTTATTGCATTTGATTGATCTTTACAATTAATTTAGTTGTCCAGTTCACAACTTATAATTCATATGTAGAATTATACAGGGACTTTTCTCTATGTTAAAGTAGTCTTATTTGTGAGATTAATGTACAGAAAAGTCCATGTATAATGTGTTATGAGTCTTAAACAACAACATATAATTTGTATTGCAATCCTTCAAACTTACCTTTTTGAAAATTTGGAACTAAAATATCATTCGTGGTCTCCACATACATTTCTTTATTGGAAGTTAACAATAAGTCTAAAATAGCATTATTCCTAATGCTGTTTCTTTTATATTTTATCATTGTGTTTTTAGAGTATACAAATGTCTTTTTGTTGAGTTATGAAAGAACTGATTAATCTAGAAAGTTCTGTCACATATAATACTAAAAATAATGTGTGTAGGAACTTGAAATAAATAAATATATACAAATGTATAAAAACACATAAATGATACATCACTTATTAAATCAATTTCAAGTGAGCCTTCATGACAAGCATAATTCAGTTTCATTTAAGCCCAATATTAAGGTATTAAGCTAAGAATTAAATATCTTATTTCTATGAAATCACAACTTGTAATGCAACACTAAAATAAAAGACTAAAACAGCTTTAACATGCATATTGTGTGAAAGAAATTAAAAGGAAAAAAAAGAAATCCTGAGCTATTTTGATTAGGTTAACAAAACCCTCGATTCTTATTTTAATAATGATATTAGAGAAAATATTTTGTCTTAAACAATGACTTCTATAGCACATTCCTGATATGTATCACTGATTTTTATAAAAACATTTAAATTCGTACAAGGTTTTGATTGAAGAACGTAATGAAATTGTATAGAAAAAATAAACCTTTGAAGTTTGTCATTTGACAGGTATGCCAGCATAGCCATTTGGTATTTTACAAAGTTACAAAAATAGTAATCTAACATACAATATAGTTATAGCAAGTTTAAATGTAACCAGCAAATTTTAGAGTATTTTTCTCATAATGTCACTAGATAAAATGTGACTTGTAGGGTAATTTTAGTTAAGCTTTGAAACGAAGATAAATGAATAAAGATTGAGCATTTCTAACTTGCATTGTGCAAATGAAATTACTTGATGGTAGTAGTTATTTTAAGATTTATGCCAAGAAAAGAACTAAGAAAAAAAGTTCTAATATTCAATTTTTTCTCATTTTAGTTTGCTTTTCTCATGAAAATCTGTTGGAGTGTTTATGAGAAACTGTCTGTTATGTTAATAGTTTGGATTTCACTTTATTTTAGTGTCAGTTTGTGAACATATAGTAATAAATTTGTTAAAAAAATATACACAAATAGTCAAAAATAACCAACGCGAAACATTTGCAAGTAAGCCTCTTCTGTCAAACAGTCATTTTCACTATCCAACAAATAGTTTAACTAATGAGTATATTGCAGAGATTTTGTGTTGTCTGTGTATTATCTCTTGACTAAAAAAAAATCTTCACTCCAATGACTACTTTCAATACATAGTTTTGTAAACAGACTTCATAGTTATATACCAGGAACAATATGCAGTAGACTAGTATATGTTGTTTCTCTTTTTACAAATAGAAGTGAGGTGCAATCACTTATGCAAGATATAGCAATACAACACTCCTGAGATACATGTAATATCAAGTCCAAAACAATAAATCCACACAACCTATAGTTTTTACAACATCCATGGCTGTTCCCGCTCGGAAATCTTGTTTCACTTGTTGAATGGTTCCCCCTGACCAATGAATGGAACAGGATGATAGAAAGGTACTGTGGGGAACAGGATAAAACTGATGTTGAATATCCAGACGAAATCTCTTCATAGAGCCGCGGGCGTGACACAGTCATATATAACCTGACTTAAGGTTTCGATACAGGAGCAGAAGTGACAGTTTACTGTTGTGGTTTTAAATCTGTTTAATCTAATTCATACTGGAACTATTTCGTGGACAATCTTCATCTAGCTAATATTTGGATATCTGTGAACTTGCCCCATCCCAAAAACTGTAAGACTAACCAAATCTGACACATATTCAGTGCCGAATTTGTACTGCACTACAACTAGAGTTACGACGCAATCAAACTTCAAAACAGGCCTCTTCCCCCTTTATACACACGCATTGACAGGAATCCACATGAAACTTCGCACGCATTTAATTAATATAGTTTTAAAGAAGAAAGTAAATGGCACTGTACAATCGTCCTAAAATAACTACTCAAAATATATTTGAGCTTTCAAATTTTGATGTTTTTCTCTTAACTACTCTAAATGGTTTTGTTTATTTTGGAAAATATACTATTCGTACTATAACATTACCTTTGACTCGTTTGAAAGTATTTCACTGAATTATAGCTCACAATGGTTAAGTTTTATCTTTATAGTTTCAGTAAACCTGTGGCGCTTGTCTTTTAATTTTTCAATGCCATTATCATGGCTAGCGCTGCTTTTTGGTACAAGCCTGTAAACATAAATATTAAAATATTTCATGACAAAATAACCCTATTTATTACAGGGTCGTGTATTTGGTGTCGTTATCAGTTTCCCTGACTTTTTTTCTTATACTCGGACAAGGTGCTCAATTCTTAATTTTTAATCAACTCTCATACCGGGTTAAATATGTTTTCCTCTGTATAACCTTACTGCCCTACATTTCATGTTAATTCTTGAAGCACTGTTTTCCTTTGTATAACCTTACTGCCCTACATTTCATGTTAATTCTTGAAGCACTGTTTTCCTCTGTATAACCTTACTGCCCTACATTTCGTGTTAATGCTTGAAGCACTGTTTCTTCTGTATAACCTTACTGCCCTACATTTCATGTTAATTCTTGAAGCACTGTTTTCCTCTGTATAACCTTACTGCCCTACATTTCGTGTTAATGCTTGGAGCAGTGTTTTCCTCTGTATAACCTTACTGCCCTACATTTCGTGTTAATGCTTGGAGCAGT